CTCTCTGCCATGGCATCTTTTCCTTGGCTGCTTTTCTGGTGTTCCCGGCAAGCATTCCCAGCTTTTTTCAGTGTCCTTGAATTCAGAGTCCAGGCAAAACATGTCTTGGACTTCCTGAGGCTTCTTATTCCCTCGATGCCCCAGAAGTTACCAGCTTGGTGGCTTTAAATGAAATTATTCCAGTGCTGAAAATGTCCTGGAAAACTGTCCATGTTCCAAAAGGGAAGGTGCTGCTTTTCTATGCCTTTTGTTGACGGTTTTCCTCACTCCCTGCAGGAGCTGATCCTTAGGATTTCTCTGGTGCTCCAGCTGGGACTGAGCAGTGCTGGTTTGGGGCTTTGAAGTGGTGTCTGAAGTGTTGTGATCCCAAACAGCACATCCATCCCAGGGGCTTCTGCGCTTCCAGAGCTGGGGAATGTGGGACTGGAAGTGGTTTCTCCTGGAGTTTCAGTTCCTCCTCAGCTGCCACTTTGGTTTTCATGTGGTTCCTAAAATCAGGGCCTTGATGAGCTGCCTCCTGAGGGAATTGAGCAGAAAGTCTGGGTGATGCCAATCAGGACCTCAGGACCTTGGAGCCTGAGGAGAGAAGGATCCAGGGAAACCAGAGAGCCCCTTGCAGGGCCTAAAGGGGCTCCAGGAGAGCTGGAGAGGGACTGGGGACAAGGGATGGAGGGACAGGACACAGGGAATGGCTTCCCAGTACCAGAGGGCAGGGACAGATGGGAGATTGGGAAGGAATTGCTGGCTGGGAGGGTGGGGAGGCCCTGGCACAGGTTGGGCAGAGAAGCTGTGGCTGCCCCTGGATCCCTGGAAGTGCCCAAGGCCAGGTTGGACGGGGCTTGGAGCAACCTGGGCCAGTGGAAGGTGTCCCTGCCCATGGCAAGGGGTGGCACTGGAGGATCTTGAAAATCCTTTCCAACCCAAATCTTTCAGGGATTCAAAGATAAAAGGCCCATCACGAAAATAAAAACCCGTTTGGATCCATCCCCTTGATTTCTCCCAGGAGCACTGAATGCCACAGCCAGGCCTGCCTGGGACACCTCCAGGCCTGGGCACTCCAAACCTCCCTGGGCAGCCCCTGCCAAGGCCTCACCACCCTTTCCACAAGGAAAGGTGAGCAGGGACACCTTCCAGCAGCCCAGATTGCCCCAGGCCCCATCCAACCTGGCCTTGAACCCTTCCAGGTGTCCTCCTTGAGACTCCCTGCTCTTGCCCCCCATCTTTGGGGGGATTGTGGGGTCAGAGCCGGGTGGGGGGAGTGTTACCTAACGGGGCTCACGTCACTGGGCTGTGGGGGCTGCCCTGGGGGAGTGGGAGCTCCTCGCCCCGGCTCGCCCGGCTCAGGTGCAGCTGTGGCAGTCACTGGAGCCAGGGGTGCCATTCATCTGACAGCTGTGGGCGGCTCTGGGAGCAGGGGATGAATCACAGCTCCATTGACTTCACTCCCAGCCCTCCATTGAGTCTAAAAGGAGCCCGGAGCCATCGCTGGGGGTGCTCGTGTTCTCCTCGCCCACGGTTAACTCGCTGCCTCCCGGGGCTGCTCCAGCGGGGAGGGGATGGATCCATGGCCTGGGCAGCATTCCTGGGGCTGTACCTCCAGTCAGGACCTCATCCTGGCTCCCCAGAGGGTGACACAGCTGTGGGGTGGCGTTGGAGGCCTCTCCTGCCTCCAGCTGCCCAGGCTCCTTCTCCATCTCCTGTTTTCATTTCCATAGCGTTCCCTCCAGCGCTTTGCACTTCTCCTTCCTTCCCTGATGTTTCTCAGACCATTTCTCCATTGGCAGCACCACGTGAATCCCAGCCTGCTCTTCCAACGTGCTGCTGCCCTCTCTGTTCCCTCCTGATCCTTGGTGAGCACACTGAGCTCATCCCAGGACGGACCCCAGTGAAATCCCCCTCGATCCATCCCTGCAGTTCAGCAGCAAAAAATGTGTCAATGCAGCTCTTTCCTCACCTTGCAGAGGTTTCTATCCCCTCGGTTTTTTTTATGGAAATGCCTTGTGAGGGTGTTGGGAGTGCTCAGCTGGCATCAGGCTCCGTGTGGCAGCTCTTGCCTTTCCCGTGTTCAGGAGACCCATTATTGTCACACGAGAGATCGTGTTCCTTCAGCACGTCCCATTCTCTCCGATCCACTCCACCTCCTGTTTGTCACCTGGATGGTTTATTAAACCCTTGTGCTGTTTGTTAGAGGATTTGCCAGGGAATTAAAGATGAGTTGCTTCGTTTTAGGCTCCCTTTGATCTTTCTACTGCCTGTTTATAAAGATGAGCATCATCCTTTGTGTGGCTCTGCGGGAATGTCGAGCGTCCCCGGCGAGCTCTGAGAGAGCCGTGGCACGAGTCAGACACTTTCTGCCACCTCAGTGAGTTTCCCCAGGCCCAGAGGGTTGAAATAAGCTCTAAATTCTTCCAACTGCTGTTTTGTTTTTTTTTTTTACTGTAAGGTCAGAGCTTGGCTTTGCTGTTATGGTGCCACCAGGAGTTGACTGGAGCTGGTTTGTACAGACCAAACCACGATATATTTTAGATGTTCACTTGGTAGGTCATAGAATTCTAGAATTATAGAATGATTTGTGTTGGAAGGACCTTAAAGATCGTCTAGTCCTGCCCCCCACGGGCAGGGAACCTTCCACTAGGCCAGGTTGCTCCCAGCTCTGTCCTAGATCATAGAAACCTGGAATTGTTTGGATTGGAAGGGATGTTAAAGCCCACCCAGTGCCACCCCTGCCATGGGCAGGGACACCTTCCACAAGCCCAGGTTGCTCCAACCTGGCCTTGGACGCTTCCAGGGATCCATGGGCAGCCACAACCGCTTGGATTCAGGAATTATGGTGTGAGGTTGTCCCGCTGTCCTTACTCTGATGGGAGAGTTGTGTTACTGGAATGACCTTTCCCAGGCATTGGGAATCTGCTTCCAGAGGGCCACCCCACACCTGGAAAGGAGGGTTTCGTTGGAGAGGGGAGAGTTTCACACCTATTGATGAGCAGCTGCATACCCAGCTCTGCTTTTGAGGCCAGGGGTGTGTGAGGTGACACGAAGGGGGGGGCCCCCGTGACACCCTAAAGCGCTTCACGGTTTTGTTGGAGTTTCTCCACGTCTGGGTGCTTTGTTGCATGAAGTCCCTGGGTTTTTAGATTCCCTGTTTTCCAGGGATACTGTGGAAGCACGTCCATAATCACAGCACAGAGTGAAATAGCAGGGAACTGCAGGGAACTCAGGCTCTGGGCTGCTTTGCTTCCCACGGATGATGTTGTATGTCCTCGTATGTAAGCCCCGTGTGCATCAGCTTTTGGGATCCCCTTCCCCAGGTCTGGGAAACGAAGGAATTATTTCTATATTCCTGCTAGGAGCTGGGTGCTGTCGTGGTGTTACCGGCAGAACTGGTGGAATTGGGATCCCTGGAAATGCTGCAGGTGGGCGGGTGCAGGGGAGGGTCCTGTCCCGCTGCCCGTCGGTCACGGGGAGCACACACGGGAATGTGGTGATCCCTCACCTTCCATCCGGGACCATCCTGCCCCCGTGCCACCCCTCGGGGTCCCTGTGGGTGGCACAGGTGTCCCTGGCAGGTGATCCCTGCCCTCCGGAGGGGCAGGAGGAGCGGGGAGGGGGAGGCGTGTGCCGGCCTGCGGTGGCTCCGCGCACGGCGGGGGGAGGGCCCGGTACCGCAGTGTGATTCCAGCTGTCCGCGCCCGCTCCTGGATGCACAGCCCTTCCCTCTGCCCGTGCCCCCCTCGCTCTGCCCATGCCTTGGCAGGGAAGCTCAGGGAGGGGGGGGATTCGTTCCCGCTGCCACGCTCCGGGCAGATCCTTCGCCGCCGGTCCTGGCCCTGCCGGGGATCATCCTCATCGCTCCCATCGCTCCCATCGCAGTGGGAGGGGGATGCAGCAGCCCCTTCACCCAGGGATGAGCAGGGGCTTTGCTTCTCCATCTCTTGACAGCTCCCCATCCCTGCCCATTCCTCCCCATCGCAATGGGAAGGGGATGCAGCAGCCCCTTCACCCAGGGACGAGCAGGGGAATTCACTTCTCCATCTCTTTGATCGCTCCCCATCCCTCCCACCGCTCCCACCGCTCCCTCCTCGCCGCTCCCTCGCAAGCTTTGGCTCCTTGTGCCACCCCCCTTTCCCGGCGCTGCCGAGCCGGACCCAGGTCCCTGATTAATTCGGCTCTGATGTCAGACATGCGGCTCTGCTGGGAGGGATTTGCGGGGCTGCGTTTGCTCCGAGCGTCCCCCCTCCCGTCCCCCCTCCCCGCCCGACCCCCCTCGCCCCTCCCGCCGCGCGTAGATGGGATTTGGGGAAGGGGCTCCGGTGGGCGCCGGCCCCGCGGAGCTGCCGCTCCCTCCGCCGCTGGATCCTGCCGGCTCTTCTCTCCCGGCCGCCGCGGTGCCTTTGTTAAAGTGGGACGAGGAAATGCATCCCCCCTGCTCCTGGCAGACCGTCACTTAGCAACGCGGGGCGGGGGGGGGGGGTGGTGGTGGTGGATTTTAGGAGAAGATCCGAGCGCCGGGATGAGGATTTAAACTCTGCCGTGCTCAACTCACCAAAGAGGCACCTTCTCCTTTTCGTCGAGCAGCCGATTTTTTTTTTTTTTTCCGCGTGAGAGAGGCAACTGGGAAGTCTGAGAGAGCCGATCCCCCGATGCCCCCCCACGCTCCGGGCAGCGTTTAAAGGGGATCCCGAGGGGGATCTGTATCCCTGCATTCCTATGCAGGTGACTGCGAGGGGGCCCGGTGGGCAGCAGGGTGATCCAGGCAGCCGGGGCTTTCCTCCTCCTCCTCCTCCTCCACGCTGAGGGAAAGTAGCTTTTCATCTTTTTTTTTCATTCTGACTTTGGGCAAAGGGAGGGGAGGGGAAGCAGCTTGTGCCCAACTCCCCGCTGAGATGAGACGGTGGATGAGAAGAGGTCTCCTTGTCACAGGCACAAAGGCCACCTCCGCCTGGCAGCATGGTGCTGAAATCTAACCCTGGCATCATTCTCTTGTGCTCTTTCCTGCCCAGTGACTACATCATTGAGGAGAAGACGGCCGTGCTGCAGAAGAGGGAGCATGAGGGATTCGGGTTTGTATTGCGAGGGGCCAAAGGTAAGGGCTGCTTCTTTCGCTGGCTCTGGGGCTGGGGCGGGAAGCGCCTTCTCCTCCCCCTGCCCGGGGCTCCGGATCCCCCGTTCCCGTGCCCGGCAGCCCTGGGAATTAAAGGGCTCTTTAGGGGAACTCTCTTCTCCGGCTCTCTCCTTGCCCAGATGCCATCGTGGCAGACGGGCAGCGCTCACACTTTTTCGGGGGTGGGGGGTTTCTGGTGCAGGTGCTGCTCTTCGTGGCTTCGAGATCCCGGGAATGTTCACTCCTCCCCGATCCCTGGGAGCGTGACCCGGGCGCAGCCCCGCGGGGCCGGGCCCGTGGCACCCCGAGGCGTTTTTGGTTGAAATGCTGGAAGTAATTTCACTGTACTTTGGCTGTGGAGAGTGGGGGTCCTTCGAGGAGCCCTGCTTTGTGCTGGGGTTCCCGAGGGAAAAACCAGGAGAGGTGTGTCCCGCAGCTCCCACCATCCCTTTGATCCCGCGCGGCTCATTCCCGGGGCGCCCCGGGGTGCTCCCGTGGCCGGACCTCGGTGGTGGTGGTGGGGGGGGTTCCTGTGGCTTCTCCTGCCAGAAATCCATCTTTTTTGCTGCAAAAAAAAGAGGCCCTCGGGGGGCTGGGGATGAATGTGCTCGTATGGATGTAGGGAACGGGCTTCAGCTGCCGTGCTCAGGAGGCAGGGACGCCTCCGGCCGGAGAGCCCTGTCCCTGCCCAGCACTTCCAGGCTCTTGGAAATGCCTCTGCCGGGAGCAGAGGGACAGTGGGAGCAGGGGGGACAACGGTGCAGCTCTGTCCCTTCCTTGTAGGCTGCGAGGTGTGGGAGGGAAAGCTGGAAGCAGCTCCTGGGTAGTGGCTGCTCCTTCCCCGGACCTCGGTGCGGCTGCGGATTCGGGCTTTAATCTCGGGGAGTGGGGGGGAATTTCAGGAAGGGATTCCTGGATCGCCTTTGTTCTGCCCGTGGAAGGGCTGGGTGCTGGTGGGTGTGTTTGCATCCCTGTTGGAATATGGTTGCTGTCTCTTCCTGCCTTTCTCTCCCCTTCCCTCTGGATGTGACATACGTGTCTGTCCGTGTGTAGCGTGAAGTGAAACTTCACGGCTCAAAATGGCATCCATTTTTTTTTTCTGGATGGATCTTGCCCCTATTGTGTTGGGGGAAAAATGGATACATTTAGTCCTTTTTCCCATTTCCCCCCCCCCTTTTTTTTTTTTTCTTTCCTTTCTTTACCCTCCCGACGTTTGCAGGCTCTGCCTTTCCCTTTGTCTGCTGAGGCTGAAGGCAGGACTGGGAGCGGATGAAGTGGGCGTGTGGCTGTGTGGGATTTGGGAATCCTGGCGGTGCTGCAGGGCACCGGGAAGCGCGTGGCTGCAGAGGGTCGTGGCGTGGAAGCCCTCGCAGCGTGGGCACGGTCTGGGAGGCTCCCCAAGCCCCTCAGGGAGCAGCATTCCCTCCACGGGGAGGTGGATGTGGTGTCTTGGATCCCCCCCCACTCCGTGTTTCCCAGCCCCTCATCCCGGTGCTCCGTGGGGTTTGGGCTGGAAGGAGCTCTGGGACTCTCTGCGTGGCCCCGTCGGTGTCACCACCACTCCATTTGGGGAAAAGCGCTTCAGGAATCATGGTGTGAAGAGGAAAAAGAGTCTGGAAATGGGGGGATCAGAGGATCATCCCTTGCAGGGGTGGGAGATGGATAACGTGGACTCAGCTGGATGATCCTCAAAGGAATCTGCTCTTCGTGCTGCAGGGAGGGTGTGAAAATCTTTCCTTGCTTCTCTCAGTCCTGCTGAGGGTTCATTCCTGCCCCAGCCCAAATTTGTCCCTGTGAACACCTCCAGGGAGAAGGCTCTGCACCATCCTGGAGAGCCAGCCCTGCCCAACCTGTCCCATCTCCTGGTTCTGGAGGAGGTGACATCCCACTCAGACCAGCTGAGGCTTTGGACAGAGCTGATTTTATGCCATCCTGGTCTCTGCAGGGAATGAGCTGCAGCATTTGGACCTGGGGGATCCCTGCAGCCGTTGCCTGGGAATGCCCAGAGGAGCTGTGGCTGCCCCTGGATCCCTGGAAGTGTCCAAGGCCAGGTTGGAGCAACCTGGGCTGGTGGGAGGTGTCCCTGCCCATGGCAGGGGTGGCACTGGATGGGCTTTAAGGTCCCTTCCCACCCAAACCATCCTGGGATTTCATGATTAAGGAATCCTGTGGAACAAATGGGAGGATTCACTTCTCCATCTCTTGGCCCAGAAAGGTCCCAGCCTTTCACATGCTCATCATGGACCTGCTCGAGGTGCTGAGAGACATTTCTTGGCTTACAGCAGGCTCAGGTTGGCCCTGAGGAGGAATTTGTTGCTGGCAAGGGTGGTGAGGCCTTGGCAGGGGCTGCCCAGGGAGGTTTGGAGTGCCCAGGCCTGGAGGTGTCCCAGGCAGGCCTGGCCGTGGCACTCAGTGCTCTGGGCTGGGGGACAGGGTGGGGATGGGGCACAGGGGGGATCCATGGGCTGGGAGGGCTTTTCCAACCTCAGTTATCCTGGGATCCTGAGCTCACCAGTCAACACCTTCCATACCTAGACTGGAGCATCTCCCTCTTCCCAGCCAACCCATCAGGCACTGTCTCCCTGGTAATTTAATTCTTAAATATTCCTAAACTGAGGCCATCCTGGGAGCAGGGGGTGTTACAGTGACTGCTCCTCACATACCTCCTCCAAATCCACTCTGCCCATTCCTGGACACAGGAATAGCAATCCCAGGCCAGTCAGTGCCTGTTGGCATCAGCTTGT